CCCCAAAACCCCAAAACCCCAAAACCCCAAAACCCCTCTAAAACTTTATTTGTTGAAGAGATTTATATCTAATCAGTTCTTGGGTCTTCTTTAGTCTCTTCAACTCGTGGGCGGCCACCATTCAAATGAGATATTCTATCAACCTCAACTTTATACTTAATATCCTGGATCCTTTTATGAAGTTTGGTTATTCAGGAGTTGAGCCTGTCAGCATAATCCTCTTTATCTTCATCAGACTCATCATCTGTCTTTTTAATAATGCTCTTTTGAAGTGTATTAAGAGTCCTCAAGCATTCCTTAGATTTGTTCGATAAGGAATCATGGTTCTTAGTCAAAGCCTGAATTGGAGTTTCATCCAAAGCACTCTTCTTTGGAAGTTGATCCACAGGAATTCCAAGTGATTGGGCGAATCTTAATCTATGAAGTTCTTTATCTTTAATCAGAATAATTCTAATCCTGTTCTTTCTTCGCTCTTCAACAACAGAATCTGATCTGAAAGGTTCGAGGGGGTCTTCACCCTCGATGTTCTGACTGAAGAAAGTACTGATGTTCTTGACTACTTCCTCCTCATACTCTTCCTTCTCCTTGATCCAGTCATATTTGGAGTATGTCTTAGCAGCTATAATACGGTTAATGTTGATTTTTACTTAACCTTACCGATGTATCCATCTCCTACAATCACAACAATGATGTTGAAGATAATGGCAATGCAAATGAATAGGAAGATGTATAGGAATATCTGGGTTACCAAGAAATGTATCTCTTTTAGTTCTAGAAACAGAAAGAACAAAATATCTCCATTTAACGTTGTAAATAAAGAATAAAATGTGAAGGAGAAGAAACTTAGATATCTGTTACCATTGAATAGACAGAAAGCGAGTAGAACAAAAGCGATAAATATGGGTAGAGCTCCGATTGTGGCCTTGAAGAAGATACTTGCTGACTTTACAGCTGTATTCCAAACAATGTTGTAAACCTTCGCGTTATCGTAATATTTCATTAAGGAGATAACAACCAAAAATGATCCAAATCCGAGCATGATTTCTCCTTGTCGCTGAGATGTAGAAGTAGAAGCTAACAGAAATGCGCATGCAATAAGAGTCACTATGTTTCCAAGAATAATAATAAAGCTCCATCCAGAGTACAACTCTCTTCTATCAGTCAGGGTCAGATCTGACCAATTAAATCTCATATCTTCTTCATCAAGGGATTCGTCACCACTTCCGTTCCCATTATGGATATCATCAAGGCCAATTTCTTGAGAATCTAGATAGGAGTTATATAAAATCTCATTATTTGAGTGAAAAAGATGCAGTGCGGCTTACCAGTAGCATTCCTTCTGTTAATATCATTAATTGTAAGCTTTTTCCTATGCTTCTTTTCATAATCCTTGTTGAGTTCCTTCCTCACGCGCTCAATACTGTTGGTAATATCCTTTATGTACTTTATGTTCAGATATAAGTTCAGAATAGTAAAGATTCAGGTGATTATTAGTACCCACAAATATCTTGTAAGGAAGTTAGTTTGGATGTATCCCTCAGGGACATTTTGGCAAAACTGCCTATCCATCCTGTTGAACTGAGCATAATGGCCATTGTTAATCATCCGAAAATCAGCTCTCACTATCCACCGATAACAATCATAAGTCGTAAATTTTGTTGTTGGGATATTATGCCGTACAAGAAGAGTTAGAGTAAAATGACTCATAGCCGCAAAGAAGTCTCGAAGTTGATCATCTGGCAATCTCGGTGTGCCATCTTCCTCAATATGGAAAGCTCCCCTTTCATCATTTGTCAGATTCATTTCAAGAAATGCCCAAGGAATTCTATCTTCTTTTCGGATGAAAAATGGGCTCATTGTAACATGTGCGATTCTTTTTATTCCATCATCATCAAGCTCTTCAGAGAGTTGATATTCTTCAATTGAATCAGATTCGGGGATTTCAAAGAAGTTGTCAATCATGAAGTTTACCTGCTCTCTGACGTCTGCGACACTAAAGAAGTATCTCTCTCGAAATGTCAGATATCCCTCTTGTTCCATTTCTCCATCAAAGAACAAAGTCAATAATTTTCTTTTAACTGCAATAGAATAACTTGAGTTGAAATTAACTACAAGAAAAATCTGAGCGACCAATGCAAGCGCCAAGAGGAAGTGCGCAACCATTTTATATGGAAATCTTCCATATTTATAGTACTTTTCAACAGGACCCATTCATATCTAGAAGGTTAGACCTGGAGTACCTTATCTATAAGGGGCATCCTACAAAACTCCTTATTGGTTGTTATCTGGGATTCCTCATTACTTTCCTCATTCTCCTTTCTATTCTCTTGGTTACCTTCAGGATTACTCTCCATTTTCAATAAGATTATAAGTTAAAGGGGTTTTGGGGTTTTGGGGTTTTGGGG